TCATAAAGCTAGTTTTATCAAAATTATATAGATCCCCCTCTTAGATGCCATACTTAGCTATTATGTTACATAATAGCGCAAACCACTTTGATATAACCTCAGGATCTTCTTAAAGAGCCTTTTAATAATCGTATAGACGATTAAACTTGGTTTTCAGAGCAGGCTGTGAGTCCACAAACCGCCTGGCCTATCGCTTGCCAACAGGCTCGCTATTACGCGCTCTCAGCAGGAGATTAGCTATATCTTCCACACTGCTGAGGCGGAAAGGAAATCCTCTGGAATCCTGTTTAATAACGTATTAGAGAAGTGTTTTCTCTTCGATCGGATTGAGTTTATATCGTTAGGGTTAAGCTTGTTTGCGTCGCAGTTGGTTGTTCATTCTATCAGCTAAGGTGCTCTTTAGGATACTGTAGGTCTTTGCAGCATGCGAAATGTTTAAGTTATTACCTGCAGCGCGTGTCGATCGGATTGCTTTAATCGCGAGAATGACTTTATCTTCTTGGGTGTAGATTGGCATTATGGTTGTTGAGATTTTATGCGTCAAAGGTTTAAGTGATTTGGACGTAAGAGTGTTTAGAAAAAAACGTCCGGCTGACTGGTCCGGCCGGCTGACTGATGAACCACGTTATATTAAAACACTGTTATAATATCTATAATAAAAATAGAACTTTTAAGTTTTAAAAATACTTTAAAAGAAATAATAATATTAAAAAAAACATTTCTAAAATATAGCGTTAAATATAAAAAACAAAATTTAGAAGATTAACTATAATAATTAATAATTAATTAATTTATAGTTAGTAATAGAGAATATATTATAATATATCTCTATTATATAGATATCTAGAATATATAGTTGTAATAAAAGTTCTAAAAAGCTAGTTTTAATATAGCTTATATATTTATAGATTTAATAATTACTAATAGTCTTATAAAAGACCTTTCTAAAAATAAGTCTAAATATTTCTATATACTACTTAACCTAATAGATATATATATATTTATTATAAAAGATATAGAGTAAAAACAATTAGAGATAAAACAGTATAATAGCTAAAAAAGTCTATATATAGCTTTATAGCCAAAAAGCTTAATTTAGCTAACAAAAGCCTAAAAATAAGTCTAGAATATTTAAATATAAATATTACTATAAGCTAAAGCTTTAAATATATATAAAAACCTTTTAAACTTAATAATAAAACTTAGCTTTAATAAATATAAAAAGTAGTAATAAATATATCTAACTAGTTCTATTAATATTAAGCTAAAATAGCTATAAGAAGCTTATTAGCTATAATAAGGCTAAAAAGGACTTTCTATTTATTATTAAGTAGAGAGAAAATAATAAATATAATATTAAAAATAGTAGGTATAATAAGAGAGATAATAAATGTAATAAGTATAATAAAAACTAAAAAAGTAGTAAATATAAAAATAGAAATAACTAGAGGTATAAAAGTAAGTATAATAGAAATAGAGGTCTTAATAATACTACTTTAAGTGAAAATAAAAACATATTAGATATTAGCTCTCTAATAATTAAGATCTTATATTTAAAGATAGAAAAAAGTTAAAAATGCTTCTAAAACTTAAAAAAATACTTCTAAAAATATTATATTTATAGTTTAGCTAATAGAGTTAGACTTAATAACCTTTTAGAGGTAGTAAGCAAAAATTATTATAATAAGCGCTAAAAAGATATGGGGATAGCTATGAGAAGTAGAGGCGTATAATATATGCTAATTCTTTTTATAACGCTTTATACTAAACGCGTTAGTAGCTATAAATATAAGGTCATAATAATAACCTTAAGTCTTATTTATAAAAATAGACCTAAAGTATTTTCAATAAAGAACCTTATAATAAAAAGGTTTTTAAGAAGTTATCTCTAAATTATTAATATAATATTTCTAATATTTAAGATATTTAAGATAATATATATATAAATAGTTGTACTTATTCTTATTTTTAACCTCTTTAATAATAAAATAAAAGGGATAAAAGGGGGAGATATAGAGAAGCTAAAAAATAAAGTAATCTCCTTATTATTATTATTATTATTAGAGGGGATAAGAGGTAAAGCAAACTTCTTATTATTATTATTATTATTAGAGATAGAGGGAAAGCTAATAATAATAATAGTATTAATAGTAGCCTTTTTATACTTATATGCTTTATATATATAGGTAGTAGTTTTTCTTTTAGTAATAAGTATTGTTAACATTTAACATTCTTTTATAATAATAATAATAATAATATAAGAATAATAATAACGCTAAACTTACTTTAATATTTTATATAAAATAAACTAATAAAGTTTAAGGTATAAAACCTTATATAAAAATACTTGATTTATTATAACTTATAACTATAATATTGATTATGTAATACGTATAGTTACGTAAGCACCTTATGTAATTAGCAGTTTAGCAGGTTACGTTTCAGGTTATCTTTCCCCTCACTTTTCCCTACTAGAGGATGCAACCTGCGAACAACAACAACCAGACTCATCACAATACATCTGTTCCCTTATTTTTATCTATACAATTAAATGCTCATAAATGCTCAGAATTATTACCTTTTATCATAACATTACCACATCTATAACCTTATACTATATAGGCGCATATACTACGCCCCTGAATACGCTTATACCTGTGCTAACAAGTATTATAAATTCTAATCTATAAAATAGTTAGTAAAAACTCTAATAATTATATTAAATATTTTAATAATTATTTTAATAATATATAAATATTATAGTAAGTAATTTAAGATTTTTAAAAACTTATCTTTATAAAATATAAATAGTTTAAAACAAAATTTAATTATAAAAAAGTATAAGAGGTTTTATTTACCTCTAATATTTATATTTCATAGTTTATACTAACTATATTAGGAAATTTTATTAATTCTAAATATATTTATAACCTATTTTAATAACTAAATAACTTTATTAAGTATTCTTATATTCTATAAACATAATAGTAAATATTAATTTTATTTATCTATTTATTTTATTATTTTAAGAGCTATTTTATACGTTTTATATAATAAATTTAGATAGGTTTCAAGTATATAGTAGTAAAGAATAAGTTTTTTAGCTATCTATAACGTTTAAAGGGGTATATTATATCATACAACCTGTTATGCATGGATAACAGTTGAACGACCCCACTTAGGCGTCGGGCGGCTAGGACAGGACATTTATGCTCTGCAGGATCACAGGAACAACAGGGGCTCACTCAGAATAGAAGAACTATAGTATAAGTCACGTGATGATAAGAAGGACCGACAAGGGATAAGCGGTCCTGACTTAGGACCAACACAGAGAAAGCAGTCCACACCCAGGGACCGCTCAGAAAGATATCGGTCCTCAGAATAAGGAAACTACCTTAGACTTATATATAGTGTAACCCTAATCCTAGCTTATGGTCAGACCTTCATAGCTCTTCAGCAATCAACTTAGTATTCATCCTCACAGATACTCTCAGCTTACCTTCACTGCGAATATAAGGGTCTAGGACAAGGTCGATGCCATTGGTCTAGCCTACTACTACGAGTACAATAAATCTTCTTGAAGAACAGGAAACAGAACCGTATCCTCCCTATTTCCTGGGCATTCTTATAACCTTGCCATTGACCTTGTCGATATTCCTAGAACCTTCTAGCAAATGCGCCATTGGATTTGGTGGGTCCAATGAGTCGTGGCTGAGGGTCTTGCCGAAGGCCGAACACCGGTCCATAGACCGTGACAGCGAATCACTTATTAAGTCTAAGACTGATCACCTTAGCCTCTGAAGAACTAATCTACTACAGCCTACAAACTACGACCTACGACCACGACCCAGTGTACTGTTAGAACGTATCAATCCCCAGCTTCTGTTAGCAGACCCTACTGTCGGATAGCTGACCGTAACATTATAATACCTTTAATCTAAGCTATAGCCTCACTACCTACTATATAACATATAGTATTATATAAGCTACGTATATAGATATTAGCTTATAATATAGACCACCCTTCTAAATAGTTACTCCTATAATACACCTTTTATTCCTCATGACCTGCGCGCCTGTAACTCGCAAGAGGATCTCAATCGGATCATGCCCGACGTTTTGCTGCGCTTGTCATGTAAAAGACAATCCTAATTTGATCGGCAGATTTATGGTACACTATGGCTGGTAACACCAACAAGTCCATCACCACTCAATATTTTGCGGCCGTTGCAGTTTCAAGTATCTATGGAGACTAGAAGAAAACGACGTAGTCGTTTTGTTGGGGTCTTGGGCCATTAGTACAGACTTCAAGTTTGCAGCCGCGCACTCTGGCCTGACTGAAGAGAGCTTCGGATGGATTCTGGGCATTGATCCTACTAAGTCAAAGCACCCACTTTTCGACCACCCCTGCTTTTCGACCGCCATGAATTGACGCCATCGCAACCACCACCACTTTATTCAATTAATTATCAACTACCTCTTGAAGCCACAATAATGCAACTTTCGGCCTCACTGGGTAATTCAGATGCGCTGGATTCATCTGAATCATTTTCAGCTTCGCCAGCCTCAATCTGGGCTTGCCGTATCTCTTTGATTGTCGCAAACTTCGTATTTGGGTCCAACTGAACAGCCTTCCTCTTCCTGCTAGCAGTGTTGGCAACCTTGGCCTCTAGAAGCTCTATCTTTTGCTGGGCGGTAGCTAGGGCAAAGGACTGCTCTTGGAAGCCTTTTTTTACCTTCCTGAAGAGCTGGCGTTGTGTGGCGATGTTTTGTTCTAGTTGGCTGAATATATGTAGTTGGTCCCCTAGGTCCTTCACCTTCCTTGGCGTAGACCACTTCACAGCAGATGAGGCTGACGCCCAGCCCTCTATACCATGGGCATCCTGGGCTATATGTTTATCTCTGGCAACCTTGTTGAGTGGTGTTGATAGTGTTGTTGTTGATGATGTTGCCTTCTGAACCAGCAGCCCATTCATAAGCGGCTTTGCAATAGCAACAGGCTATAACCCAGTGTATTTCCAGCCACTCTTGATATTGCCTGCAGTCAGCCCAGCTAGGCGAGCCTTTTGATAGCAGGAAATGAAGTTCCTTTTGCCTATAACAGTAGAGTCGATCCACTGACTAAGATATCCCACCTCTTTCCTATATGCTGCCTTGACAGGGCTGAAGACTGACTGGTCAAGTGGCTGGAGGACATAGGAGGTATGTGGAGGCAAGAATAACAGATAGATGTTATTAGTATAGCATAACCACATAAAATCTGTCGTCGTATAGCTCCTATAGCCATCTAGGATAAGGAGTCTAGCTTGGTTAGGGCTAGAGGGCTTGGTTTGGGGGATAAAGACCCTTTCTAACCATTTAACAGCAGTAGCATCAGTAGTCCACCTATTCTCTGTTGATGTGAACTCCCATCCATCATATAGGCCAAGTTCTAGAGGAAACCACTGCTGTTGAACTGTCTTGCCCTTATATATAACCAAGGGATGGATAGCAGCGCCCCCAGCTGATATACACTCAATAATAGATACCCAGGCTTGCGAACCAGGCTGCTTCTTCCTTACTGACTTAGTCGCAGCACTGCCTAGCACTAGCCTATTATCCCCTTTACCCTCAAGGATACCAGTCTCATCCATATTATATCTGTTGGCTGGTTTGATGGCCTGGATGTGAGGTATGGCGAGATATTTGAACCAGTCCCTGATAACCTCAGTAGATGCCCTATTAACACGCCTCGAATCAATAGATCGACTTCTCTGGACCTTGATAGATGGGTTTCTTCTTATAAAGCCATCTACCCACCTCTTGCCAAGAGGTTGGGTGTCCCCCATAGCTTGGAGGATGCGATGGGCGAAGTCCTTCAGTTGTTGATGGGTTGGTGGCAGCCCAAGGTCTGCCTGGGCAGTCACCCAAGTGGCCAGGCTGGCCTCCTGGCCAGCAGAGAGCCTCTGGAGGTCTTGAAATGCTTCTTGCCTTGGTTGGTGGCTTTGGTACGGCTTATAAGCGTTGATCGTGGCACACCCCATCGCTTGGAGGCAGTGCGAGTAGATATACCATTTTTGATGTCGTTAAGCGCCTGGATAACCTCATTTTCGGTATACTGTTTCATTGTATAATAAAAAAGATATTCTGAAAGAATGATGGAAATTGATGAAGGATTGAAAATGTTGTGGTAGTTTGAAAATTGGGTATAGTAGTTAATGGGGTGGCTGGGCGGCATTTTATGGGTGGTCGAAATGCAGGGGTGGTCGAAAAGTGGGTGCTTTGACTTACTTACACACAAGATGAGGAAATGCGGCACTCCACTTGGTGCGAAGACAAGAGTTGTTATAATTCAAGGGCCAAGAAACTTCACGATTGGAATTGGGTCAACAAGTAGAACCATCTATCTTCAATCATCGATGAAGAGAGGCTTATGTGGTCTTTCTCTTCTCGCGCTCTACCTTCAGCCTATTGCAGGCCCAGGATATTTATATAAAGCTCAGTAAATCCTTCTTGGGACGCGCCGGTAGCGACCACTGCCCTCTGGCCTCTCCATAGAGAGGCTCAAGGTGATATGCGTCAACTTGCTTTGGTTTACTGTTGTTCATCTGACCCCCGGACTCCTCATCATCTCCGTTACCCGGCTCAGGGTACTTCTTCAAATGCTCCAACGCCCATATCAGATCTTCGGAAAGGACAGGAGGCACCCGCCCTTTACCTCTGAGCGTCGGCAGGCCCGCCACCCTGTACAGGCCCGTGAGCCACTCGAAGGTCTCGCCTGTCTCCCATGGGATGTCGTGAAACTTTCTGCCCTCCCTTCGGACTGTCTCTTCTCTTTCTCTTTCCCAGCGTTCTTGCTCCTCGAGAGGCGGTAGTGCAACAGAGTTCCTCCCAGAAAAGAGTCTTGCCAGGGCGATGGCTTGGTATTCGAAACTTCTGAATGTGAGAACGCGGGGCATGCCGACAATGCCCAGAGTTTGGAAATCCTGGAAAAACGTGTGCCAGAAGATCTTGACCAGCTTTCCTTTTTTGTAATCGTACAGCGGCCGATTGTAATTTTCCTTGCTGTTCCAGAACGGATACGAAGCCTTATAGCCCGTACAGTAGATAACGTGATCCACATCGTCCAAGTAGGTGTCGTCTTCGAATATGATCCGCCCGTCGTGTTGAAACTCTTTGATGACGGGCTTCCAAGCCTGGCCAGGGGGTGGCTTATCACCATCCCAGCGTGATTTGCTACGACGAGACTGAATCACAGGTTCGGCCGCCGTCCCCACAAGCTCAGCCGTAACATCATGACCCGATGCCGAGTTGCCGATCACAACAATCTTCTTGCCGGCGTATGGTTGCGGTGAGCGGTATGTCTTTGAGTGAACAACGCGGCCTGGGAACTTCTTGATGTACTCCTCTAGACCCTTCACTTGGGGGACCTATGCCGCGTTAGTCTATAGTATCGTTGGATATGAGATTGAACATACGTAGGGAACAGAATAGTGCCCGTTCGCAAAGACGACGGCATCAAAAATCTCCTGCCACCACACGTCGACGTTTCTTGCTGGGTCGAATCTTCGCAACGTTAGTCGCCACTGCTCAGGCCGATCAACGGCATCAATTCTCGTGACATCTTCGACGGTTGCATTGAGCACCAGAATATCATCGGTCTTGTGCTGCGAGAAGTAGTTTTCGATGTATTGTCGTGGGATCCAATGGGGCGCGAAAGGTCCATAGGCGAATCTTGAGTCGGAGAAAGACATTGCGATATCAGGGACGTTGGTTCTTGTCAATATGTCAGCAACGAACAAATAATGACATTTGCCTCGAGCTAGTAAAGACAGAAAGACTCACGTTAGGGAGTGGTAAATAGGAGTCTGCGTGAACCTCTCCTGAGAGGTGCTGTGCGGCTTCACCTGCGGAAGCTCGGCCGGGATGTCCAACGCCGGGTCTAGTTCCGGCGGCAGTAGTCCCGGCTGAAGCGGAGGAAGATCGGCTGGGTTCGGATCGTATATCCTTTGTGTGTCCAGTCAGTCCTTGCACAGATATCAGCGCCAATGAAAGAACAGTACCATGTTCCACCAGCAGATTCTCTTCGCTCGTACACCCGAATCTTCTCAAAATAATCCTCCGCCTTGAAAGCAGCGGCTGTGACAGCACCTGTTCACACCAAATCCGGGTCAGCTCTACCGCAACCGTACTCATGATCATCAAGCCAAGTGCACAGACGATCGTGTCGTGGCATGGCTTTTGCCGTATAGTATTGGGCGTGGCTTACCCGCAGCGCCGGCGCCAATGATGGCCACAGACTTGATTTTCCTTTCGCCGCCCATCTTAATTTCACTCGAGCTTAGACCAAGAAACTGAGATAAAGACGAGTTCTATACTTCAGGAGCTCAGACCTGAGATGTACAATACATGCAAGTGAATTAAATAGAGAAACATTCCCCCGTCAAACACGATATCTCGCCGAGTCGCATCATACGCATTTGTCATCTATCAGATGGTTTGAGGGGGGACTGGGTTGGTCGGGTGCAATTCGCCATCTGTCGCCATCCTCAGATGTGATTTCACCATCGATTGCATCACGTGAGCGCCGGGTATGAGTTTCGGCATGTTCTGCAGACTAGAAGCAGAAGCAAGCTCAAGGTTTCGGATAGTCTCAAAATGGTGCTTTCATAAACGCTTAGCGAAGCTTTGACATATGACACTTTCAACTGAGTTTCCAAGGACTTTGATAAGGGGGATGATGAGCTGGGTTCCGGCGCGATCAAATATCTACGAAGGACGGCATCCGGCGATGAGCGGGGGCGGGGGCGGGGCGCTGAAACTCCCCGAATCGCCGAGGCCTGCCGGAGTCGCTGGACGGTCCGGTCTCAAACTTCACCTAGTGAATCGACGGATGCACTTTCAAGTTTAAAGCCAATTCTACAATGGAACTGTCCTCCACCGTCTATGAGGCTGTGGCATCGAAACACTCATTATCTGATTTCCACCCCGCTTTGAGGTTGACCACTCAACAGTTGATCCGTTGTTCCGGAAATGCAAGCTGCTAGTGTTCACTGATGTCTGACATCTGGGCAATCTCATCCCCCGCTCGCAAATCTCACAATGTCCTTCTTGACCGTGCATCGTACCTGTGCCAGTTGACCACAACGCAGAGCACTGGGCTGGCAACATGACTCAAAAGACCTGGTTCCTGCCTCCAGATTTCAATTTCCTTCCTGACGGAGAGTTGGCTCTAGGGACAGTCATCAAGCATCCCACGAGACCGACGCTCGCATTAGCTTCGCTCGGACAAGGTGGGCAACCCGAGATTGCCCTTCCCGATACCAACATTCTTCACGAATCAGAACACCTTCACTCAAGAGGGTCAAAGCGATCTTTCTCGGCGGAATTATTTGCCAAGTGCGTTGACCTTGCATCAGCGTCGGGGAAAGTCGAGCTTTCTCGCTACAAGGGTCGTTCATTTGATGCCGTCGATCTTGAAGTTCGAAGCTTCAACGTTGGCATAAGCCCGGATTCTCTCAAGGAAATAGTGAGATTGGAGCGGGTAAAGAAACATATCGATGGGGGGATGTTTGGCAGACGACCAGTATACATAATCACGGGGTTACGGGTTGCCAAGGAATCTTTCAGGGTAACTGATGAAATTGGTTCCTCTAATTTGGTGTCAGTGACAGGATCAGGCCCTGTGCCTGCCGGCCCAGTACCAGTAGAGATTGGTGGCGGTCTGTCGTCGGGCGCTGAGAAAAGCAAGACAGATGGCTACGGGACGGCTCCTGGCATAGTTTTTGCATATCGACTACACGTCATTCGAGCCAAAAAGGACGGTGATGTTGAGACTGAGCTTTTCTCGCACCGCACAGCTTTCCTTACAGGTGAAGGTGACGAAGGCGAGGAAGTAGAGGAGATGGAGTGCACCGACGTTACGGCCCACGTGATGAATGACGATCTCGAGTTTGAGCCGGATTTTGAGGAGTATCCACTAGGGGGTGGCGAGGAATCCTTTGTGGTTTTCAAATGACTGCGGACTATGGAGTCATTTGAGTGATAAGCTCGTAGTCTTGTATCTCAGCAACATAACACCTGAATAGTGTAGATCTCATAACCGGACAGACGTACTAAATATCTTTCACCGCGCTGCATCCGCAAAACCCCTTGCATGTAGTGAAATGGCTCAAGCAGTACCGGCCACTTGTCATGACGTTCGGATCAAAAGTGTTGCGAGTAAGTAACCTCAGAAACAAGAACTCACAGATTCTGGTCATCTACCTAGACTACCTTACAACCGAATCATCAGTCAAAACAGCTACTTGGAATTTCATGACGATAGGTCGTCGAAGGGGTCAGACTGTAGTTCTTTTGATGAAGCATCTGTGCTGTATCAATCGTCTTGTTCTCAACTAGCGAAAAGAAAATCGCGATTTCGCAGGATGCAAATCGATCCTCGCTTGTATATCGAAAACTCTAACACTGCCCTAATACTGCAACCTACGATCTACTTCGTGCAGGCAATCAACAATAGCGCGGAACCGCTGGGAATGACTTCCCCCCTCGGCGTTATCCTTCCAGAACGATATCGGGTCCACAAACCACTGTCTACCCGATTTATCCCTAACCATTCTTTTGAAAAGTGATTCCATGCCGTTGGAACTCCACAGTAACTGTAGTTTCCTCTCTGCGTTACGATCAACGCTCCCAGCAACCCCCTTGAGCAGAATACTGACGAATCCGAGCATAGTTGCGCTGATCCCCGCTGCGACAGCTGTCGCAACGGATGATCCTGGTGCACAAATATTGGGGTATAGTTTTTCGATGTGGACGCAGATATTATCAGGTATGTTGTTGCCGTAAATTCCAAACACAATGGGCCCGTCAGATCGGGGTCTGGCGTTAGCCGGGAGGAAGACGCCGTGACAGTCAGTTGCGTAGATGGATAGGACAGACGGGTGGCGAGCCGGGAAGTTTTCGTCCTCTGTAGGAGAATTGCCACAGCTTGCCAAAAAGATCACCTTCCCATTACGTTCTGACTTGACTGCGTCGATAGCCT